CGGGCACCATCAGCTTTCTTCACCACATTTGCTTATTCACCCGCTTTGTCTTCAGCAGTTGTGTCAGGCAGGTGAGCATCATAGAATCGTGGCATTCACTTATGTGGAATCATCACCACTATTTCCGACAGTTTTTCACCATCCCAAAGAGAAACTCAGCGCTCCTCCAAGACTTGCTCCCCTCAGCCCCCAGGCCCAAGAGTAAGTAACCCTTTGTTTCTATGCATTTGCCTCTCCTAGGTATTTCATAAAAGTGGGCTCACCTTGTATTTGTCTTTTGGGGTGACTTATTTCGTGTAGCATAAGGTTTTCAAAGTCTATCTCTATGGTACCAGGTATTGGAGCTTTCTTCCTTTATGGCTGAATGATAGGAATACCTCCCATTTAATGCAGGACTCACTTGGCTTTTGCTTGGGAATCCAACACATTTTCTAACACTGCACTTGGTGCCAAGCGCACTGACAAAAACATTGGGATCCCCAGGCACTTGTATTTCTACCCAGGAAGAGACGAGGGAAGCCCACCAAAGCATACGGTAGCCAGTAAACTAGAAGTGAGGCTGATGACCCTGTTCAACTTTTTCATCCTGTAGCACCGGCTGAGAGACATCACGTAAGAAGAAGAAAGGGTTTCCTCAAGCCCTCTGCCTTTCAACAGTTAACGATTCTGTGTTCCTAACACTCTCTTGTGTATGGATTGGGATAACAGTTGTATGAGCCCCTAATAAAATGTTTTTTAAAAAAATCTTTATGGGAACAGGTAGCCTCATAATAAATTATCCTTCTTGGTGAAAAGATAAAACAAACAAACAAACAAAAAAAACCTTCATTTAGAGCCCCAATGTCATTCACAGTACCCAAGACCAAATTTTCTGGCCCATTCTCCATTTTAATACTATCCAAATAGTCTTTATTACCATGCTTACCCTGTTTCCCTGAAAATAAGACAGTGTCTTATAGTAATTTTTGCTCCCAAAGATGCGCTAGGTTTTATTTTCAGGGAACGTCTTATTTTTTCATGAAGAATAATACAGTACACATTTATTGTTGAACAACAGAAAAGGAAATGTATTACCTGTGTACAGTACAGTAGTAGTTGTCATCACAAACCAGCATAACCAGACAAACTGTGAATCCTACAGTATCAAGAATTTCTTGTTACTACCATTATTTCCATGTACAACAATCTATGGTACAATTATTCATTTATTCAATGACAGCCATGTCATCATCTTCTGGAACATCACCATAACAACCCAAACCCTTATTTTCAGGGGATGCCTTATATTTCAGTGAGAGGCAAAACTGTAAGTAGGTCTTATTT